CAGCCTTAATGTGCACTGAGTGCGCACCAGTGCAACCAGTGAAATACGCTATAAGTCAGTCATTCTTTTATCCAAGACAGTTATTCTTCAATTCAATTCAGTTCAAGACCGTTAATTCTTTTATTCAAGTCAGTTACATAGTCATACAGTTAATTCTTTTATTCAAGTCAGTATTTTATTCATTCTTACTTACAGTTTTAGTCAGAAATCAACTAGATCAAGGTGAGAACTATCCTCGCGCTTCCTCAGAAATACACTCTTATGTTTCCCTTTTTTTTATTGTTCTGTTTCACTCTTATATTTTTCTTTTTATTATTAAACGAAAATATTGAATATATCAAATCGCTCAAACCTAAATCTCTGCTCTGCGTCTCACTCAATTACATTCAAGTACATATATATGAGTATCCGAGGGGCTGTTGCGACTGTCGCTGCCAATAGCGTGGCCCCCGTCTTATAACACTTTCTCGGAATATTCATAATTATCTCACATTCGGAGGATTGTTACGATGGTCGCTGCCAATAGCGTGGCCCCCGTCTTATAGCATTCACAGGATATTCATAATTATCTCATATCCAGAGGACTGTTATGATTGTCGCTGCCAACAGCGTGGCCCCCGTCTTACAGCAGTTCTTCTGAACATTAATAATTTTTGCATTATTTCCATGCCTACTAAAGGTGGACGAAGACAGCGAGAGAGGAGATTAAGGTTTCATATAAAATCAGCTCTCATTTCAAATCACGATCCTTTCCCGTATACAGAAAAACTATCCAATACTTCCCAGTGAACATTATTAACCGTACAACCTAATCTCCGATCCCCGAGTAAATTGCTTAAATGCATTGACTCAAAATACGGAGAAAATCTCAATAGCATTACGTAACACCCTGAACATATGTATCAAAAAATTGAAAAAATGTAATAAAGACATTAGAGAAGAAAAAGAGTAGTTTATAAAGTTTATTTTAAGATTAAAAAGAAATATAATGTTTTTCAAACGTGAAGTTACGAGTATACGCACAGAATTTGTTGGGTAGAACATTTGTATTGATATGTGTAATATATATTGTTTTAAAATTTTGAAATTGGTAATTTGCAGTAATATTCTTGGAGTATTGTTATAGACGGAATTTTTTTGGTAGAACTTAGTTCATATTTGAACACACATTTTTATCAAATGTTTAAAATTTGCATTTTATAGTTAAAAAAAAATTGAAACGATTATTTAATCTATATTGGATTTTTTCTTATTATAAAATTGCATTTTTTAAGTAATAATAATAATATTGATAATTGACTATTTTACTAATGTCATATTAATATTACGAATAACATTAATATATATATTATTAATATTTAATATTATAAAATTATTGAAATATGCATTTTTAAAAATAAAAAGTAAATAAATAATTAGACTAATACTAATTTTTACCGTTTTTAATTGTAAAGTGCCAATTTTCAAATTTTGAAAAAATATTAAGATACCAACACGAGCGTATTTCCAAAGAAAATATGTGAATGTGCTGGAAAGATATTACGAAAAACGCCATGTTTGAAACACATTTGGATTTTTTTAACATTAAAATCATTTTTGCTATTAATGGAAGGGTTATATAATTATTAAAATTTATTAAAATCTATTTATTAAAATCGTTATCTAAACTGTGTGTTCATGCTTCTTTATCCCTTATACAGGGTGTCCCTTTTTTGCCAATCACTTTTGTGTAGATAGAGCGGACTAAACTGAGTCGAAAATTCCTCTACCATTTTGCAATTTATGCAGTAGTTAACAAGATATTAATTACTAAAAATTGCAAAATATTAGTTTTGATTAATATTTTACTCAAATACTATCAACTTTACAGAAAAACTGCAAGAGACAAAAATTATTTATTTTCTTCTCATAAAATTTTGAGAATTTTTTATCAACTTTTTAGTACTGCATTTTCTTATT